AATTATAGTCTGACTTTTGATTCTTCTTTTCTCCTATATGGATCATTGAAGAACTTTCTCCACTTTCTTTCAGGTCTCTCTGGTACTGGGTGTACCTACGCTGAATTTTTCTCCTTTGTGATCTGGAAATAACGGGGACCATATCTGGTTCCCTCGTTCTTGGGTGTTTCAGCAATACCCAGTTATTGGGGGTCACCAAAGGAGGCTTAACCATTCTACTTTGATTTCCAAAATTCCTTTAGGAAGGCAGTTCCCTAGGTTTGTTTTGCTTCACAAACCAATCTGGGACTCCGGGTACCCACGAACTTACTGACTCAGACGTTGAACCGCCTCTTTCTTGTTTCGAGGTCACCTTCGAAGCTGGCTGTGAAGACAATTGTTTGGCCCTGTCTCCAAGTTTTGAGCCTAATTCAGGTTCTCGGTGATGGTGATCATTTTTTGTCTTTCGTGAAGCTGGCCCAAGGGGCCAATTCCTGGCTTTGATACCAAAACCTGAACTCTTCTCCAACTTTCTTTCAGAATGACTACTCTCCAACCTGTAATAGTTAGGAGATCTGGACTCATAAAAAGGCCTCTTGCCTTTAGCATACATTCTACCAACTGCAGGTTCAACCACTAATGGCTGCTGCCTAACATTAGCCGGATACGGCCTTTTGTTATAAGCATTGGTTGGTCTGGGACGCCTCTGCACATCCCTGTAATACTGCTTCCCATCGACTGGAAACATACCGTCAATGGCTTCTCCTTCGGTATCAGTCGTAGAGCGTATGAGCCCATCTGTGGCCCTGAAGAGAATTATTGACGCGGAATGCGAAAAGTACAAAGCTGGGGAGAAGAGCGCTATTGATGGACGCATCTTTGTCCCTCGTCGCCATGTGCAGTCAGACTATGTGCTCGGGCCCATATTCAAAGAGGTCCTCAAGGTTCTGACTGGACAAGCTGGTCAGTACCTGAGACTTATGATTTAAAGGAGCGAATCAACCACCATTTTGTTGAGTTCACTGACCCTTTAGAGTTTCCCTCCTATGCTCGAAGTTCAGTTGTTTATCCTTATGTGCCCATTGACCATCGGCGTAGTCTGGAGGAGAATCTGCT